TATATGGATGTCTCATCCATGCCAAAGCACATGTGTTCCAAAACTGGGAACTCTCTACTGTAAAATTGCAGATTTTTTTTATCAGAGAGCTTAAGTGACTATCTCACGGGACAGGATTGTGCAGGGAAGCATTCTTCTGCTCCAGAAGTGGTCGTTTATTTCTTTAGCTCCACTTTAATTATCACTAAACAAAACCCCACTATATTGATAGGGTGAATTTTGTTTTTGGGGAGTACCTGGACCCAGACTGCAGCTTGGGTCCAGTAGGCCTGATTGCCCAGATCAGATTGGACTATTTCTGATATCTTGCTGGTGAGGCACGGACTTGGCTTGCAAGTGTTGGATCCCCGGAGTTATTTGCACCCTCCTACCACCCACAATATCTCTTATTCAATGGACCTGCTCTGTAGATAGAAAGAACACAGGAAGCTGCCTTATACCGAATCAGACTATTCGTCTCTCAAGCTCAGTGTTGTTTACTCTGGCTGGCAGTCTCTGTTACCCAAAGCTGCCAGGGATTGAACCTCCCACCTTGTGTGTGGCAAGACATGTGGTTGAGCACTGAGCTACAGGCCCTCCTCCCTGTACTTATAATTTGGATTTGTATGGGCTGATGGGATGGATTGGTGGCCTGCTCCTGTGTCTGAGCAGGTGGCTGGGAATAGATTCCCCGCCTCCCACCCCCAACTCAAAAAATCCTTCCAGCAACAAAGGAAGTATGACTTTTCTTTGGTGCATAGAAGAAGCTCGCTGTGAGTTCCTTGGATAAGGAAGAGGGGAGTCAGTTAAAAAGGACTGGCCAAAGCAGATAAGGGATGATGAATGGAAGTGGAAAGCCCTGGGTGGCCAAGACAGATAATCGGGTGAGGATGCTGCTTGCTGCCTGCATGATTTTAAACTCAGGTGCTTGGAGTAAAAGTCTGAACCATTCTTGAAGCCTAGGAAGCCAGCAAAGGCAGGAGAAGGAGCGTGTAAGTAGTCCCAAATCCTTCAAAGATTCAAAGGAATCATCAGGCTCCCAGGCTTCCTGATCAGAAGGAGCCTGACTGAAACTCCACAGGGGTGTATGGAAAACTTTCCACTCATCAAAAACCAGGGAGCGGAACAGGAGCAGGAAAGACTGGAAAGTTATTTCCAGTTCTTAGATGTCAGGACTCTGCAGGCATTTGGGGAGGGGAGAGGGAGAAGGTGAATGCAAACCAGCTCCAGCATTTTCCGGACCAAGGTTTTCTCATTCTCTGCAACTGCGTAAAAGAGAGAGAGGGGGGCTGCATACATAAGAATTCTGGGAACTGTATTTGCTAAGGGTGAGGGGTAAACTGCAGAGCCCAGGTTTCAGGATGTATATGTGTGTGTGTGCTTTAAAATGCTTTAAATATATGGTATGTACGCAGATGCTGGAAAGAGCATTCCAAAACCATCCTTGCATGTAGTGAGCAGCGTGGGACAGAAATGGGTGACCCACAAAAAGAAGCAGATGATTGTCAGCTCTAATAGCCTTTGTCTAGCTGCAGCACCTACGACTGAAAGATGAGAAAACTGCCTGCCCCATTGCCTTTTGGACTGACAGTAGGCACCGCTGCCTTCCACTGCTTCTCCATCTATCATAGACCAGGATGGCTGCAGCAGAGGACAAGGATGATGCTGGGGGAGGGGAGATGAAGGGGAAGACAGACCGAGCTAAATAGCACAACCATGCATGTCATTTACCTGATAGGTACGTCACCATCATCTAATTCTGCCAACAGAAATGCCAGTCACTGTGCTTTTCATTTTAGGAGAGCATAGCTACACTAGTCTGTCACTACAAAAACAACAAGAAGCACTGTAGTGTCTTGAAGGCTAACCAGTTTATGATGGTTTCAAGTTTCTGCGGATTAGAGAGACTTTATCAAATGCATGGAGCATTGTCCTGTATTACAAGTACATATATACCCATGGCTGGGATAGGGTTTGCAAAACAGTGAGGTCAGAGGGGAACATCATGAAGAAGCTACACATGGTGACAATTATGCTATTAATAGTGGCCACACACACACACCGTCACTAAGTTGATACCACAGACACCCTGGCATCATTAAGTCAATTAACATGTGCATTTTGACTTATTAAACTAAAATGGAAAAACCAACCTCTGTCCTGATTCAACCCACAAGAGCTTTTAATGCTTTCTACACTAAAATACACAGTCCGAAATGTGTGTACCAAGATACTCAAACAAAGGCTGGAGGGGGCTGAAGAACTACAAAAGATAGGCTCTGCTTTGGCTTACTGGGAGTCCTACACACCCATACTCTAGATTTCAGAAAACACTGTCCTACATACCTTTAAGACTTTCTTTGCAATCTTATGGACTAGAAACTTGTTTTGGGGTTTGTTTGGTTTTTTTTAAATGAAAAGCTGAGATTATCAGGGCTCTGAATTGTCCACTGGATAATGCTTGGCCTATATACCAACAGGCTGTTGTGATCATCTGGTTTGAACAAGCATGGGAATAATTATAGGTGAGTGGACCTGTGCCAGTGAGGGGGAAAGGGGTGCATGTAAATGAATGTGGAATGGTAAGCACAGAGAAGATATGTGTTTGTACACAAAGGAGAGGAAGCATGAAGCTAATGGCTCACTGGAGCTGGCTCAGCACAGACAGAACAGGTTTCATTTGCACAATAAAAACAGCCTTTGCCTGCTTTCCAAGCGACTATTCAATTTTTTAATTTTTAAAAAATACTGATAAGCTTCTCCTTTCCCACCCCTTCACCTTGATGGCACCGCTGCAAGCCTGTAACCATTTCTGCCCTATTAGAAGAGGTATTAATGAGGTCTCTGATCAGCTGGCTGCCTGGTCGGGTGAACTGTGGAAGGTTCAAGTAGCAATTTTCCATTTGCACTTCAAATGTTAATGAATGTTCCTGTGTCGGTTAGAGATTCCCAGCGATAATCGGTGCTGCTCGGGTCACTGCAAAGGCTGGCTGCTCACAAGAAGGGTGGTGGTTCTGTTTTGGGGTTTTTTAAGCCATTTGATTTCTTTAGGGAATACTCCTGACCAAACAAAAAACCCAGTAATTGCCCCTGACAAGTCCTGCATACTCCAACTGGCTACAGGGAAAAGGAATCACAAATCAAAGGCTATTTCATGCAGGTGTCCCTGAAGCACCATATATTTCTGGCTGCAGAGTGAAGTTGATTCCGGACAAGCAAGTATCACTGGGCAGAGATACAATAGTGTGTGTACACACACATACATTCCCACACAGCCTGCAAGTCTTTCTGACATCTCCCCTCCCCTGTCTTTTCTGAATAATTCATTGCTGTTAATCCCTAGGCCCAGCAGAGCCGCTTGGAGGTAAACGCTCTCAGGGCGTGCTGATGATGTAATTGCTAGGTTTGTGTGTGTGTGTTTTAAAAAAACACCACCTACTTCAACGCAGCTTGGAGCCCCGTGGGTAGGCGCACTTTCATAGCAGACTTCATGGAGTGGGGATGTTAGGCACCCCATGGGACAGCGAAGCAACTTGGGGTGTGAATGCAACCCAGCTGTCTCTATGAACAAGATGATTCCCCACTTACAGCTATGGGAAGGAGGTGTGTGTAGCACATACACACACTCACATACAGGGGTGAAAACATAGTCTTGCTATGAAGAAAAAGCATCCAATGAGGAGTTCTCAATTGCTCTGGAACCTGGGTAGTAACAAGAACACCGTGGCCTTGTTTAAAAAGATGCACAGAGTGCCCTTCCCTTGCCGCAGACTGCTTCAGCGTGTCATTGTGGCGGCTTTGTGGGTGGGGAAAGGCTTCACAGGAACACAGGAAGCTGCCTTATGCCAAGTCAGGCAATTTGCTCACCTGCAGCCTCATATCATGTTGGCAGGCAACAGCTCTAGAGGAATCAGGCAAAGAGTTCTTTTCTGCCCCCTGCTTTCTGCTCCTTTTAACTGGAAATGCTGGGGTCTGACACTCTACCCAGGTCAGACCGGATTGAGCCCCATCACATTCTATTTCAGAAATTAAGCAGTAGCCTCCCTGAACCCCAGATTGAACCTGGGATGTTCTCCATGCAAAGCACATGTTCTAACACTTAGCTTTGGCCCTCCCCTTGGAGGAGGATGTTTCATGCCAAAGAGAGGCAATCTGTGGCTCTCCAAGTGTTGGTCAACTACACTTCCCATCAGCCTCAATCAGCACAGTCAATGGTAAGGGGAAATGGAAGTTGTAGTCCAGCAATAATAATAATACTATACTGTAACTAATACATGGAGGACCAAAGGCATCTCTGCATTATAGCAGCAGTACAGTTGTCAAATAATAGTGCTGCATGGAGCCCCCACTCTTAGGACCCAATGAAATCCTGCTTTGGTACAATGCAGAAAAGTAGAGTCACTCAAATTCCATTCTAAGCCACCTGTAGCGCAGTGGTGGGACATCTACGCTGCACGCAGGAAGCCCCAAGTTCAACCTTCAGCATCATTAGGGTACTTTTTATCTCAGTAGCAAAGCTGGGAAATACGTTATTTGCTTGAGACCCTGATAAAAGGAAACAATGCAGGAATAGACAGAGAAGACATTTTGCTGCCTGAAGTAGAGCCCCAAACCACATCCATCTTCCAACCAGGCCCAACACTTCAGAAAGTCTCACTGCACCATTCAGACCCCAAATCCCTGCCTTCATCTATCTACCACCCACCTTGCCACCATCCCAGTGCTGCCTGGAGCAGGTTGCTGAGTACGGCAAGGGCAGTCCAATGGAATAATATAGCAGAAGGCAGCTTCACATTATGCAGCGGTTGCCTCTCTCCACAATGTAAACCCTCTGTGTCATTTCACCAGTACTTCATGACACGGGCTGGGCTCAATTTCTTGTGAACACATGGAGCCCTTGGAGCAGACCTGAATAGAGGCACCCTCTTGCCTTCCACATTGACACTTGTTGAGCTTCCTATACTGATCCCCAGATCCAGTTTTAGACCTATCTGTGCAAGGTGCCCTTCTCTCATAGGGGAGGGGCTGTAGCTCCATGGCAGAACACCTGCTTTGCTTGCAGAAGGTCCCAGGTTCAATTCCCAGCATCTCCAGATAAGGCATGGAGAGACCCCTATCTGAAACCCTGGTGAGCTGCTGCCAACAGCATAGACAATTCTGAGCTAGATAGGTCAAGGGTCTGACTCCATATAAGGCTGCTTCCTAATCAGGTGTGGGGGCATTACAGTCATCACCGAAGACAACTGGCTTGTTCACACATTACACTGAACACCAAGTACAAGCTGTCTCTATACATGTGTACATGTTGGTGTGAAAGAATGTATGTATACTTGTTGATGTGCACAGCTCAACTATTGTGTACACAGATTGACAGAATCTACACTCGTGTGTTACATAGGAATAACTGTACCAGTGGACAGCTCATCTATTTGTGTACATGGGTACACAGATTGCATGGTTGTTGAATGTAATGTGTGAACATCCCTTACAAAGAAGACATATGAGCAAGGAAAAGCTGGCTGGAGGAGGAGTGCAGAGTTGACTCTCCCTGGACAGTCTGTGATCTTCTTCCAACATTAAAAAAAAAAAAAAAGACGGTCGTGCCATGCATGCCCACTAATTAATTCTTAACCTCTGTCAGTAGTTAACTTCCAAGAGGTGACCATTTGTTCTCAGGAAAGACAGTTGCGTATAAAGAGCAAACCAGACTGGGCCAATTCTGTTTCAGGGATGAATTAGGAGCTTGCCAGTTGCAAGACAAGTTCGTCTATTTAATTAAGTAGCGGAGATATGGCTGTTAAATTAAGTTAATGGCTCAGCGTGCCAAAACAAGGAGATAAAAGAAAAGCAGTCATCAGAGTGTCGTGTGTGTGTGTGTGGACACACATACAAAAAATAAAAATCACACATGTCCCCAAATCTCTGGTACTCCTGCCAATTGCAAGCTCGGCCTCCTCCTTTTCCCAAGCCCCAAACTGTGCTTTATTAGAAATTCAGATGGAGAGCAATACCACACTGCTTTGTTCATGCATGCAAAAATACTATTATGTTTTTCATTTTTAGTATTTCCTGTCTTCTCCCGTCAAAGAACCTAAAGCAGCATAGATGGATTTTCCTCCCCCCCAGTTTATCCTTTCAGTAACCCTACGAGGTAGGCTAAGACTGTAATAACCTTGCTGGATCAGACCATTTGCCCACCTAACTCTGCAAAATGGCAAACCAGATGCCACTGGGAAGTCCACAAGCAGGACATGAATGCAACAGCACTCTCTACACCTGTGATCCCCAGCAACTGGTATGCTGAAGATAGTACACAACCAGCTCCTGATAGCCTTGTTTTCTGTGAACTTGTTTAATCCAAGTGGGTGGCCATCAATCACTACATCCTATGGCGGTGAGTTCCATAAGTTAACTATGTGCCGTGTAAATAAGACCTTCCTTTTGCCTGTCCTGAATCTTTCAACTATCATTTTCACTGGACAATCCCTTCACATTCTAATATTACGAAAGAGGGAGAAAGAAATATGAGATAATGACAGAGCCAAGGCAACCCAATTAGCCTCATGACTGTACTGGGGTCTGGACATGGGCCTCCCCAATCTTTGTCCAACACTAACCACTACCTCTCACTGCCCATAACAAAACTGTGCTGAAATGACAAAAGCCATGTTTTAAGGGCAGGATTAGAGAACAAGAAAAGATAATGGTTTAGCCTCCGACCTCTGAAATGGTAGCTTAGGGTGCCTTCCTATGAAGACAGAGAGACTTCTTGATAACATCTGGTATCACCGCCCTTGCCACAAAATTGGAGGCTTTCTTATCTGGAGACTAAGTTCCAGAACTCTTCTGTTCTTTTTATGATCTAAAATAAACTCATTTGGTGTGTGCACTCCCAAAGTCTCTTCCGGCAATATGCACTTGCACACCTCTCCCTCAGTTCTATGCTTGCTCCAGCCTGCCTCTGATATCTATCTAGGATGCAGAATATTACTTTCATCATTCCCAGGATTCACGACCTCGACTCCCCTGAAGCCATGGAAACATAGCTCTGGAGAAGCTCTCTTAGATTTGACTAGCAAATTGCCAACTGCTTTCTTCCTGGCCTCTGCCCACCCTGCCGCACGCGCACGCACACACAATGGAACTCTGGTGATGTAAACACCAATCCCCCAGGAAAATATAGCTTTCCCTTCCCCTCCTTTGAGCCACCAAAGATAAAAGCTTGTGGGCTCAGGTTGGGACTGAGCCATTGGTGATGCAACTCTGCTGGCCTTGTTACAGCAATCGTTGTGGCTTAACTGGCAGACACCAGTTGCAGGAGCAAGACTCGGATGAAGTGTTTGTTGCAAGACAACAGCACTAAATATGCAGATAAAATCAGCTGTTGTTCCAATTTATCTTTGGTGTTCTACTTTTTCTAACCATGAAAGCTTAACGTTGCATTATTCAAGAACATGGGAGAACCAGGAAAGCCAAGTGTAGAATTTCCCAGGAGAGGGCTCTTTACCCTCGCTCCCAAAAAACTACCAATATGGCAAAGGATTGAGTAAAATAAACTAGGGGGGTAAGGTTCAAGCAACAGAGAAATCCAGTAAAACAACTATTTACAACTTAGAATAGAATTAAGCATGCTGAAGACTGACCTAAGTGCACTTGTTGAAGCCTATTTCAAATGCAATAGGATGAATTTTAATTCAAAAAGCTTCAAAATCAGGGTGTTATTTTGGTTTCTGATATGTTACTGTAAGAGGGAAAGGCAAAATCTACTAAAAATGACCCACTTCAGAATCTCAAAACAAAGCACCTTTATTGAAGCTCTTAAATTCACACATTTATTCAAACCAAATCAAAAGTTGACACATTAAAAGACAGATGATTAACCAGACAAACATTTTTTCATTGTCTGAACAGCCCTAAGATAAACTAAGATAAGCAATATGCTTCTTCTTCCCCCCTTTCCCCAATTTTGCATAGTGCAGGTTTCAGAAATTGCAACTTGCATAATGCAGGTTGCAGAAGACTAGTTTGTTGTTGTTGTTGTTTGCAGAACCACAACCTTATAGGTTGCAGCAGAGGGAAAGATAAACCAAGCTAGCAAGGTAAGAATTAAAGATAGATGGAGAACTGGGGTTTCTAAACGGGAATACAATAGAAAACCTAAACATTTGCTGAGACATCTGCTCTGAAACACCATCTTTTTTAAAAAAAGAAGCTTCCAAGACATGCTGCAATTCAACCCGCGCACTCCAAAACACAAGCTTCCCCCCAGGGTTGTCCCTGTACAAAAGTCCTCTTGGCGCAGATAGCTCTGCGTACGGTAGACATCACACTGGTAGAGGCAGCAGGAGCGACATCTTCCCCTGACGCACGCATGGCAGGCCATCTACCCTGGGGGCTTTGCATCAGTGCAGTTACATCAATACACTGGAGTCAACAAAAAGTGACAGCGGGTTGTAACTCAACAGCCGCACCTGGCTGCCTGTTCCTGCTCTGCTGTCAGCGACAAAAGAGAAACAAGAGGCACCACCTGAATCAATGGCCGAGCTACCTTTGCCGAAACAAAAGGGCAAGGCTGAGCCAGCCTCCGGCATCCAGCTGGCATTTTGCAACCCCCACCTCCCAAAGAGGCACAGCTCCTAGGTAACAAAGGCTCCTGCCATCTAGGGCTCAGCACCATAATTGCTGTCATGAAAAATAAAAATAAAAATGGTCACAGAGGTGCTGCCTCCTTGTCAGGAGCTGTTTATCTACTGTATCTCTTTGCACCATCAGGCATGCCTGCTGGTTAATCCAGCTGTTCTTTTGTGCATAGGTGAACTATCTGAGGTGGCAAAGTGGGAGGGATAAAAAGGGATCTCTCTGGTCCACTTTAAGGGGGAAAAGAAAAATACCAGGGTATTGAAGCAGCAGAGAGGTAGCTGAATTGGAATTCTCCAATTACTCTTTATTGTCTTGAGACTGAACGCTTTGGGTAGCTCTCATAGCACCAGGTGAATGCTTTCTGGCCTGCAGCCAGGCGGTGTACACACACAGTGCAATTGCAGCAAGTGGCAGCCCTTAGTCCCCACTGGCTCTACATCAAAACCTTTCTTTCTGCCCAGACAGCTGGGATTACAGACAGGTTCCTCTAGACAACCCCAGAGGAAATAATTTGTTTTGTTAATCGGCTTGAATGCACTATGCAAACTGTAGACACACACCAGCCTGCTTCATGGGCCAAGCTAAGCCAAACCATGGTATATTGGGTGTGCGGGTTCCCAGAGAGGAGATGGCTGTCGCTGTGTTCCCATCCAGTTCTGCTGATGCACTGAATTAAACCATGGTTTGGCTTCATGTGTTGTTCAAACCAAGGTTTGTGGTTTAACTCTCCTGGAGAAACTTTGAACTGTAAACCGTAGGACAAAGTGTGATCACAGCTCACGGTTAGTGTTGAGAGAGTGGGACCATGAGCCCAGGTTCAACTGAAATGCTAAGCCACATCATGGCTTGACTGAGCACAGCAGCAAAACATCCGGGGAGGAGCAAAGTCTCCACTCATATTAAACCATGGTTTGACTTAGCATGATGTACCAACCAGGTCACAGAAAAGTTTTCACAGTTGCACACAGGAAACCAGGCAACAGGGGAGAAATATGCTAGCTTTCTAACATGCTGAAAGATTTTATCTTCTATTTGAAATAACTAGTGTTTGTGGCACAACGATTTGTTTGTTTGTTATATGCAAGTATGAATCACACACCCAACCTGCAGAATGCAGCAGCCCCCGCCCCCCAGAAGGTGACAGCTGATTCCAATATCAAAAACAATTCACTGCCCCTTCCCAAAGCTGCCTGCATTGCTAGGTCTCCGGTTTGTAAATGGATCTGGTCTACCAGCTATGTGTTTCAGACCCATGTCTAGGGGAAGCAGTCAGAGAGACGTCGTCAATCCGCAAAGCCATTCTTATGTTCAGGTGTTATCCAGGAGATACCTTTGCCTCCTAGACCAAATCAAGATTGATGCACAGTAGCTGTGCTCCATCCTCTCTATGGTATCATGGCACTCAGGGCTTCTATTGCTGCTAGATGCCAGAGGAACCATGCCAGCTCATGCC